CCTCGCTCAGCCAGTGAGCGGGAACCGGTCTGTATGTGGGATCCAAACCCTCGGCGGGAGCGCCTCTGCGCTTCCCAAGCGGCGCACTAGTGCAGTGCGCCACCGGGCCGGCCCAAAATTATTATTCTTAAAAATTGAGTCATAATCACACCTCACAAATCACAAACGTACCTTTAGAAGAGTTTTGATAAATGCATACACCCATGTAACCACCACCCTGATCAAGATACAGAGCACTGACAGCCTAGAAAGTTCACTCATGTCCCTTTCCAGCTCATTCCCTCTCTCATCCAGAGGCAACCTCTGTTCTGATCTTTAACTCCACAGTTTCGTTTTGCCTGTGAAAAGTCAACTTTTTGTTAGGTTAGAATAGTAGTTCTCAACCAGGCACGATTTTGTCCCCTGTTGACAATGTCTGGAGAAATTTTTGGTTGTCACACTGTAGTGGAGCTACTGGCATCTTGTGAGTAGAGACCAGGTATGCTGCTGAAATATCCGACAATGCACGAGACAGTCCCCCACAACAAAGAATTATATGACCCAAAATGTCAAAAGTGCTGAGGTTGAGGAACCCCATGCTAGAGTTAACCCAATCAAGATGACTATTTCAGATGTCTGAAGCCACACCCCAGATGTCTGCAATGTAAACAACCCTTTTATCTATGCTTCCAACAAGGATGCTCAGTTATGAAACTGCAAACCTCTGAGTTGCAAGACCTGATGATAACATTGTTTCCCCATCAACATGAGCAACAGATGGGAATTTCACCCCAAATGCTCATGCCAGCATCAGGGTGGTGGAGGTGGAGAGGACAAGGTGACAAAACAGATTCACCCTTGTACTAAGTCACACAGACCTGGGTTTGAATCCTTACTAGGCCACTCAATCTGTGTCAGAGGCATATTGCTTCACTTCTTGGAGTCTTTAGAATGTCTACAACTGTAAAATTAGATTCTTTTGTTGTGAGAATCAAATAGGAGAACTCAGTTGAGCCCTGAGTGGCCCATGTAGACGCTATAAATGAGTTCTCATCCCCCAACTTCTTAGATGTACTTGTGGCAAACACTTTCTGTGCTGACTTCTCCAAGGACCCAGATAATTCTGCTGCCTTGTTCTTTAATCTGGACAACACAGCCCATAGTCCCAGGACAGGGTGGGGGAAGGGGAAGTAAATAAATGCCTGTGAACTCCGTACTTACCAATTGGGGAGATCCAGGAATCACCCAAAGCAACCCCAGCAAAGTTGCACTTGATGGTCCCTTGCTGAATGGCCTGAAAGAGGAGTGAAGAAACATCCTTGTCAGGGGACCCCGGGGGCTTCCATCCCCTCATCATCAGAGGGAGGGAGCCAGGCCTTGACATGCTGCCTTTCCTGAGCACAGAAAACTTCTGCCCATCCTTTCCAACAGTCTCCAGGTATCAAAAGACTACATACAGATCCAAGAGCAAGGACAACTCTTTTCTGCTGCCATGTGCAAAAGAAGTAGAAGTGTTTGAGCCTCTCTCTACCTCGATCACAGGGTGTTGGCAGGATGTGTGTGGGGTCTGGTGCAGCCCTTGTCTTCTTTAGGAGGGACAATGCCACCCCTTCCCCTGAGGTCTGTGATTTCTCACAAGGTGCTCAGGGGCTCCTTGGGTACATGCACCACTGCCAAGCAGCAGTCACTGAAGGGCTGGGAGGCCTCCTCAGGAGGTCCTCGAGGTTGGAATGGATGGATTAGGACCAGAAGCTCATACCTCTCTGCTCCTACTCATTTTAAAAGTAATACCTCTGTCCAGTAGCAGAAAGCTGGAAACAATCTAAACATTTATCAATAAGATGGGCTAAATGAATTATGGTTATTTCCATGGTACATGATGCAACTTAAAAAACAAAGGAGGAGGCTCTTTATGGGCTGATATGAAAAGATCTCTAGGGTATATTGTTAAATTTTTAAAAAAGAGATATAAAATAGTGTGTAGTGTATACTATCATTTGTATAAAAATGGGGAAAAAAGAATACATATGAATTAGCTCACACAGGCATATAACATCTCTGCAAAGAAACTAACAACAGAGGGAGAGGGACGGGGCAAGAGGGAGAACTTTTACAGTATACTTTGTGCATTTTTTAAAATTATGAATTATGTGAATGC